AGCCTGTAGTTACTGGAGGGATAAAAAGGCTCCAAGAATCCCCTGATTTCTCCCTCTCTGCCACCACCACCTCCCTGCGCCCCGGCGCACACCGCAAACACTGCTCAGCGCGGCTGACCCCACATGACCCCCCTGAAAGCTCGAAAAGCCCGGGGCCCTGGCGTGCAAACTTTTCCCGGCGTCACTGATGCGAGAGGGACGGGGACGGGGGCAGAGCAGGAGCTCCCCATTCACGACCCTCTCTTGCAGTCGTGTTTCATAGGCGAGGTGCGGTCGGTCTCTGGGCACCCCTTCTCATGCTGGGGACAGGCGCCTCTCCATGCAATGAGCCACCCAAAACAGCAACGGTGTCCCAGGCTTTCCTGCAGAGTGAAGCTTGTGTTACTGGTAATATTGCAGGGTATAAAGGCTCCCACTGAGATTGGCCCCCATTGTGCTGCTGGCTGCACATGTGGCATCCTAGAAGCAAAGGGACCTCTGGAGGTCATCAAGTCCAACCCCCAGAGGTCCGCTGGTCCAGTGCTTCTCAATCTTTTTTTTGTACCAGGACCCATTTGGAAACATCAATGGCCAGTCCTGACCTAGTGCCTCTCACTCCCCCAGGCCCTAGCAGGGGCAGTGTGTGGGGGAGAAAGCGGGGCATCAGGAGCCCCAAGCAGCCCCTTGCAGGCTGGAACTCTGCACCTAGGAACAGACATTCAAAAAGCCTGACCCTGAATTGATTCAATCTTTAGGTTAGTCTAACCTGCAAAGCTTGAACTGATTTAGAAGTGGATAGACATTCCCATTTCATTCCAGAAAGGCAGGCACATGCCTGCAGGGGCTCAGACTAGAAGTTGGGGGGCGCTAGAGTAGCCCTCCCTTTCCTTCCACAGTACTGAGCTGAGGGAGGTCATGACCAGGCCCTGGCAGGAGGCTCTGATAAGGGAGGGGTTTTGCCCCTACTTGCTGCTCCTCTGACCAGCAATAGACCCAGTACGGAGTTACACAGCATTTATCAGCCCATCAGCAACACAGAAGCTTCTCTCATTAGTTCAAGCTCTTCTTAAACAACTTTTCCAAGAAGGAATGGAGGGACATTACCAGCTACCTGTTGATTAGCTCCAAAAAGTCCTAAGCAGACACTGTGCTGTCTTCCTTTGTCCTGTCTGCCTTACATAGACACCTCTCAGCAATAGCTAGCATACCGCATGCTGGCTACACTCTGTGCTGAGACAGCGGAGAGAGGGATCCCTGCCTGAGCAGGGAGTGGTAAGGGGGAGATGGGGCAGGAGGAAGCCAGGCAGACCCTGCTGTGGCTGCAAGTCTCTGCTGGAGCTCCAGCCAGGGAGCAGAGGGGACAGGACAGGCCTTCTGGGCTGGAGCAGAGCCCAGCCCAGAGAGCATGCTGAGATGCTAGGGGACTCTGGTTTAACTTTAACCAGGAAGGGGTCTGGGACAGACATTGCATAAACCAGTTGACCCAAATCAGTTAGGTCTGATACTATATTCAACCAGGTTTATCTCAAACCAGTTTCAGCGATTTTAAAACTGGTTTATGTGCACTGAATGTCTGTTCTGTTAAAGGTTTAAAACAGTTTCTGATCACTTAAACCAGTTTGTGTAACATCTACCCCTAGCCTGCCAGCCTGCAATGCAAAAGCCAGTGTTTCCCATGGTTTTCTCCTTTAAAGAAGAATCAATTTCTAAAATTTGTTTGTGACTCTTTCGTATATTCCTGTGACCCACTTTTGGGTCGTGACCCATGGGTTGAGAAATGCTGATCTAGTCCAGTCCACTCCACTGCCTGAAGCAGAATCATCCCTATCCAAACCATCCCATACAATCCATAATTTAAACTCTACATAAGACTACAGTAAACCTTGACAGAACAAAGACCTAACACCCTATCGACCTACTTCAAGGTAGCTTAGGACATTCATAGACATATGGCAATGGACAGCAGTCATCATCATCAGTAGCAGCCCCAGTTTGCCTGTGGGGAACTGAGCTGTGGAGAAGTTAAGGTGTACAAAAGTCACATTAAAAAAATTGTGCAGCAGACAGTGAGAATTGAACCCATTCCCCTTAACTGCAAGACTATCCCCTAGACAAAGTTGAGGGCAGGGAATCAAAAAGCTGTCTTATGGTTGAACCTGAATCCTTCCCAGGGTGTCAGTCACAGCATGTTACGTCACAAATAAGGCTTCCCTACTCCTTTCTAAGACTTACTGATTTCTTTGGTGTACACACAGGGAGTAAGGCTGTAATGGGCTCAGTGAATATGTCAAGTATAGCCTTGACTAAAAGACAAATATAAGTGGAGCACAAGCCATGCAATTTCCATATCACAAGAGTAATGTGGGTGAAAGTGTGGTTGATTTTTCCCCAGGAAAGAGAAAACAAAACAAAAAGGTTACCCTCTTAAGGACATTTCTTGCCTATTACATCCACCTTGACACCATGCACATACATCTTCTTTGCAGGATATGTTTATCAAGATATGGAAGAGTCTTGATACAAGTTCAGCTCATTCATGTTAAAATGGATTCTGTTTTGATGTCAATCCCAAGTAAACTACAATTTGCACAGGTGAAGGGACAGTTATCATAGCAGCCCTATTGGGGATGTGAGACCTAACAGATTCAGGCCCAGTTTCAAAGCACCCCAGGGAGTTCAGAGTCCAAGTTAGACCAAATTCCAGAAATTGGGATAAATTACAAAGAGCTAGATATGAGTGACAAGAATTCCTTTGAGGTCTATAACATATCTTGCAGCAAGAAACTAAATCAACTTAATCCAAATACTTCATTAAAGGGGTGGATAAGAGGTGACCTGATGACAATCTACCAGAGAGAATAAAAAGCCTCCACTATCAGGAAGGGAAATAAGATCCAGCAGCTGAAAGACAGATGTTTCAAGCTACAAATAAGGTGCACTTTTTAAAAATAATGAGTGTAATGAACCTGTGTACAAATTATATGGATTTTCCATCACCTGGAATCTTTAAATCAGTGCTGGATGTCTTTCAGAAAGAAGCACAATTGTTCAAATAAAGGTTCCTTAGCCCACGTGAACTGACAAACTAATCAGAAAAGCTACTTCTGGCCTTAAAATTTCTCTAACTCCAGCTGGTAATCAAACCATTCTATATCTAAGTGCCCTCCCAATATGGGTAAGTGCCCTCTCAACCTGGGTAGAAGAAGTTCATTAATATAAATTTAAAGATGCAAATGTTATTGCTTGCTGATTTTAATGTTTCTTATTTCATAAAGAGTGATATAGGAATGATGCTGAGGCAACATATTGGGGATCTAGTAGCTTTGGTGGTTCTGCTCTCAGCTCTGGAGAAGAAAGTCCTCTCATTTGAACAGGTGGATTTGCTATAGGGGTAGTTCTTGCCTTTCTTGTGTTGAAGCTTAACCCATGTCTACCATCACAGGGTTTATTCCATCACATTGGACACTTATAAATGTGCCTGACACCTACTCCAATGCATTCTAATCAGAATACATCAGAGCAGACTCGAGCAATCCAGTCTGCTGTAGTGTGCTAATTAGCGTACTCCAGCAGCCTCGGTGTCACGTGTATTTGGCATCCTGGCACTTCAGAATTGCAGCATTGTAACTAAAGGGTGGGATACTGAATTCACGAGACTCTGAGGGCACTTTGATTAGTGAAGCTCGTTCCTGAGAGTCACTCTAATTAAAGTGCCCCTCTATCCCCCAACACACTGGAGCACATGTGAAGATGCCCTTTGGTGAAAAGTGATCCGTGTTGGAAAATGAAGTTAGTTTAGCGATCAGGATCACAGGCCCTCACTGTTCATCTTTTCCCTGTTTGGGGTCTCAAGATGTTCCAGAAACACATGTGGTGGATTTAGCTTGCTTGGACTGCCTGGATTAGAAAGGCTGTGAATATGGAGACAGCTAAACAGTTCTAGGAGTCAGAGGGTGCATCTACATGTGTGCTTTAATGCACAGTAGCCTATTCTACTGCACTTCAACGCGGCACATAAAATAACATGCTAATACACAGTAGAATAGGCTACTAAGCATTAAATGTCACCTAAAAAACGTGCTTGTGCGACTGCGCACTAGCCCAGCCTAACGTGCATTTATTTAGTACCTCATATTGGAGGTACTAAATGTAATGCACATTCGGAAAAGCACATTAATGCACATATAGATGCACCCAGAGAGTTCAAAAACAAGCAACTGCAAGAGTAGACTTTCCTCCCTTGACCTATTCTGAGAGGTTAAGATGCACCTTTCAGGTACAGGAGCAAATTAATTTTTTAGACAGCCTTCAAAAACAGCTGGGTCAGCTGTGAACATATTTTTGGGACAAAGGAAAATGACAACCAAGTTAATCACAGATCCCCACTGTGGCAAGTGACTATTTTGGTGGGGTTCTGGAATGGGAGATGGTAGATTAAAAAAACACAAGTTCAGACCTGGGAGTCATGGGGCAGGGATCTGTGGTTAGAGCGAGGATGATGGTAGGGCTGCATCTCTTCTGGACACTAATCCAGCATATTCAGGAAGGTGTGACTACAGGGCTGACTGTATAGAATCATCCATCTGCTTGTGTGCAATACAGCACCTAGCACAATGGGGCAGTTAGGTGCTATTGCAATGAGAACAACAAGTAGCAGACATGACTTTTTGATAAAGAGAAATTCTTCTCATTCATATGTCTCAAGGACCATGGCAGCTGAAGCTGCCAAAAGGAACTACCCTGG